CTACTGAAGCCCACACGCCTACAGCCCGTGCCCTGCAACAAGAGAAGCTACCATAATGAGAAGCCTGTGCACTGCGACGAAGAGTAGCCCCTGCTCGCTGCAACCAGAGAAAGTCCTTGTGCGGCAACAAAGACCCAACACAGCCAAAAAAAAAAAAATTATTTTCCTAGTTTTGATAACTGTAATATAGTTATGTAAGATGTTAACATTGGGGAAGCTAGGTGAAGGATATATAGGAACTTTTTTACTATTTTTGTGACTTTTCTATAAATCTAAAAAGGTTTTTTAAAAAAGATGCAGCAAAAAAAGAGAGCTAATTTTCCTAATTTGTATTACTACTCTGAACATTTTTCTTAGTTTATCAGGCATTTATATTTCAGTTTCTCTATAAATTTTTATTTACCCACTTTTTAGTAGGATTCTTGACTTTTGTATATTAAGAAAACTATATGCATTCTATGTTAAGGAAATTAGCTCCTGTGTGTGGCAAATTATTTTCCAGTTTGTCTTTTGATTTTTTTTATGGTGGGTTAGTGTGTATATGTGTATATAGATTTTTTAAACTGATGATTTCTGCTGACCTGTGGACAGAAAATAAGGAATAGTAGCCAAGTGACTTTAAGTCTTCAATAGTGATCAAAAGACCACAGAATAGGAACAATACTTTATGGAAATGACTTTGAGAAACTTTTTCTTTCTTCCATTATAAGTTACATTTATTTAAACATTTACATACAGTAAAATTCGTCCTTTTTGGTGTACAATTCTAGTAGTTTTGACAAATGCATACACTCATGTAATTATAATCAAGATACAGATAATTTCCATTATAAAACAAATTCCTATGCTACCTTTTTGTAATCAGTCTCTCATTTTTAACCCGTCACCCACTGATTTGTTCTGTTCCCATAGTTTCATCCTTTCCAGAATGTTATATAAATGGAATCTATCAGTAAGTAGCCTTTTGAGTTTGGCCTCTTTTACTTAGCAAAATGCATTTGAGATTCATCCAAGTTGTTGCATGTATCATAGTTCATAATAGTTTTTATTGCTGAGTAGTATTCCATTGTATGGATATATCACAGTTTATCTATGCACCAGTTGAGGGACATCCTCCATTTTTATTTTCCTCTATTGTTAATGGTCTGCAGGTCTAGTAAAGGGCAGAGGTGAGATTTTATACCCAACAGGAAGAAGTTTCTTCTGAAAAGTCCAGCTTAGAAGTATGCTCCTGGGTAACATGTGCAAGAGGTTATACCAGTATAACTTACTTCTTGTCCTTTAAACTATATTTAAAATTGGAGTTAATCCTAAGTGAGCAGTATATCAAAGGAATAGATGTTTGTCCTGAGTATAGTTAGATGATATCCTCAGAGCAGGCCTGACAAATATTCTGGAAGCCAAGTCACTGGTAGAATATTAAAATTTTCTTTATTTAAAAAAATACTGAAAAAAGTAAAAATCAGCCCAAATCACACTTGAAAAATTTTATAAAGCAAGTCCCCTTTCAGCCTATCCAATCCCACCTCTAAAAGGTTTACAGTTTGGTATGTGTATTTCCCAGCTTTTTCCTAAGTTTATTCAGAAATATCTATATATACGTATACCATACATACACAAATGCTTTTGTTTATAAAAAAGTATTATATATATATACATATATATATGTGTGTGTGTACATATATGTATATACACACACATATATATATAACTTTTTAACTTATTACAAAATCCTGGACATCATACAGGTCAGAATGCATTAATAGATATATCCCATTATTTTAATGCCTGTATAGTATTCCACTAAATGGATGTGCCATAATTTATCCATTCTCATACTGATGGACATTTAGGTTATAACCAGTATTTGTATGTGTGTGTGACTTTATTAAAATATAATTCAGGTAAGATAAAATTCACCCATTTAAAGTGTACAATTCATGATTTGTAGTATATTCAGAGTTGTACAATCATCACAATTTTAGAACATTTTCATCAAGTTCTAAAGAAACTCCATACACTTCAGCTATTACCTGAAGCCCTAAGCAACCACTAATCTACTTTCTGTCTCTGTATATTTAGAATCATATAATATATGGCCTTTTGGAGTGGCTTCTTTCATTTAGCATGTTTTCAGGGTTCTTCCATGTTGTAGCATATATCAGAAGTGTTCCCTCCTCTTCTACTTTTTGGAAGAGTTTGTGAAGAACTTGTATTAATTCTTCTTTAATGTTTGTGAGAATTAATCTAAGAATCCATTTGAGCCTATGCTTTTCTTTATGGGTATTTTAAAAAATTACTAATTAACCACTTTACTTGTTACAGGTTATCTTCAGATTTTCTTTGTCCCCCCCCCAACAATTGGTTTCAGTAGTTTGTGTATTTTTAGGAATTTTTGTATTTCAAGTAAGTTACCTAATTTATCGGCATAAAATTGTTCATGGTGTTCCTTCATAATTTTTGTTTTAAATTTTTATAAGGTTGGTAGCAATGTTCCCGCCTTCATTTCTGATCCTAGTAATTTGAGTCTCCTTTATTTCCTGGTCAACCTACTGAAAGGTTTATCACTTTTGTTGGTCTTTATACAGAACCAACTTTTGGCTTTGTTGACTTTTTATTCTCTCTATATTCATCTATCTCTTATTTCCTTCCTTCTGCTTTTTCTAGTTTCCTTCTCTTTTTCCAGTGTCTTAAGGTGTAAAGTGAGGTTACTGATATGTTATCTTTCTTCTTTTAAATTATAGGCATTTGTACTTAGACATTTCTCTCTAAGCACTGCTTTAGGTGTATCCCAGAAGTTTTGGCATTTTGTGTGTTCCTTTTCACTCATCTCAAATTAATCTTGTAATTCCTTCTTTAACCCATTGGTCATTTAAAAGTGTGTCTAATTCATATTTGTGTTTCCCAACTTTCTGTTACTGATTTCTAACTTCATTCCATGTGGTCAGAGAACATACTTTGCATGGTTTTAATCCACTTTAATTTATTGCGGTTTGTTTTATGGTATGTGATATGGTCTATCCTGGAGATGTTTCATGTGCACTTGAGAAGAATGTGTATTCTGCTCTTGTTAGGTGAAGTGTTCCATAAGTCTCTTTAAGGTCTAGTTGATTTATAGCATTGTTCAAGTCTTCTATTCCCTTGTTCATCTTCTGTCTAGATCTTATTGAAAATGGGGTACTTAATTCCCCAACTCTTATTGTATACTTTTATGTTTCTCCATTCATTTCAGGTTTTTTTTTTTTTTGCTGTACGTGGGCCCCTCACTGCTGTGGCCTCTCCCGTTTTGGAGCACAGGCTCTGGACGCACAGGCTCAGCGGCCATGGCTCACGGGCCCAGCTGCTCCGTGGCATGTGGGATCCTTCTGGACTGGGGCACGAACCCGTGTCCCCTGCATCGGCAGGTGGACTCTCAACCACTGCGCCACCAGGGAAGCCACATTTCAGTTTTTGATTCATGTATTTTGGTACTCTGTTGTTAGGTTAATATGTGTTTCTAATTGTTATATCTTTCTGATGGATTGACTTTTATCAATATAAGATGTCACTCTTTATCTATAGTGACATTTTTTGTTTTAAAGTCCATTTTAAATAGACTTTATATAATAGTATAGCCACTCCAGCTTTCTTATAGTTGCCATTTGCCTGATATTTCTCTCTATGCTTTAACCTTCAGTCTGTATCCTTGAATCTAAAGTGTGAATCCAATAAAAAGCATAGAGGTAAGTCTTGGTTTTTTTTCCAGTTTGATGATCTCTGCCTTTTGATTGGATTGTTTAATCCATTCATATTTATTATTAACATAGGTGGACTTACGACTGCCATTTTACTGTTTCTTTTCTATATGTCTCAAGCTTCTGTTTCTCCATTCTTTTTTGTTTGTTTGTTTGTTTTTTGTGGTACGTGGGCCTCTCACTGTTGTGGCCTCTCCTGCTGTGGAGCACAGGCTCCGGACGCGCAGGCTCAGCGGCCATGGCTCATGGGCCCAGCCGCTCCGTGGCATGTGGGATCTTCCCAGACCGGGGCACGAACCCGTGTCCCCTGCATTGGCAGGCAGACTCTCAACCACTGCACCACCAGGGAAGCCCTCCATTCCTCTTTTTGCTTTCTTTTGCTTTGAATGTTTTCTAATAAAACATTTAAACGTCTTTAATATTTTCACTATATATTTTTAGTTATTTCTTTAGTGGTTGCTCTAGGGTTTACCATACACATCTTAACTTAATTGGCTTCAGCTAAATACTAACTAAATTCCAATGAGATATAAAAACCTTATTGCTATATAAACCTATTCCTTTTCTCACTTTTTGTGGTATTATTGTTATTATTATTTCTATATTACAAACCCAACAATACATCATTATAATTATTACTTAATATAATTTTATGTCTTTTAAAGAAGCTGAGAGAAGAAAGAACAAGTATATATTTACAACTTTTTAATATTAACCTTATTTCCCATTTCTTATTTTCTTCATTTGTTCCTATGGATTTGAGTTACCATTTTAGAGTCATTTCTTTAATCCAATACAGCTTTGTTTCCACCCACTTCCTTTGTCTTGTTATTGGTAAATATATTACAGTTTTATATGTTATAGATCCAACAATGCAACTATATACATATTGTCTTATAAAATAGCTTTTTAAATCAATTAAGAAAGGAAAAATGTATTTTGACTGTCTTTTATAATTACATAATTACCTTTACCCATGCTAATTTTTTGGATATGTAGATTCAAATTACCGTCTGAGGTCACTTGCTTTCCACCTGAAGAACTTCCTTTAATATTTCCTGTAAGTCAGGCCTGACAGCAACATAGTCTCTCAGTTTTTGACTATGTGGGAATGTCTTTATTTCATCTTCATTTTTGAAAAACAGCTTTATTGAATATAGGATTCTATATTGACAGTCTTTTTCTTTCAGCACTTTGAATATGTTTTCCCACTGCCACCTCCATTGTTTCTGATGAGAAGTCATCTATTACTCTTATTGAGGTTCCCTTGTAAGTGGCTTCAGTTGTCTCATGTTGCTTTCAAAAGTTTCTCTTTATCTTTGGGTTTTAGCATTCTTATTATGGTATGTTTGTTGATTTCTTCTTATTTATCCTAATTGGGGTTCATTGAGATTTCTCAGATGTGTAGATAATGTTTCTCATCAAATTTGGGATTTTACAGCCATTATTTATTGGAATATTTTTTCTGCTCCTTTCTTTCTCTGATATTCCAAGTATGTTGGAGTGCTTAATGGTTCTTTACCCCATTAAATTTTCATTATTTTTTCTTTCTGATCTTCAACCTGGATACAGTTATCCCATTAAACATCACAACCCAATGAGGTAAGTAGTAGTATTATCGTCATTTTTATAGATGAGAAAACTGAGGCTCAGATTAAGTGACTTGCCAAGGTCACAGAGTGGTAAGTATGGCTGTGAAGTTCAAACAGGTCTGACTCCAAAGTTTGTACTACTTCCTCTATATCATATCATCTTTCTATTCTCCAGCAACTACAAACAAACAACTGGGGGATTTGGGGTAGGCTGCCTCTCTTCTAGAGAGCTCTTTATTTCTACCCCTCTTTAGTATTCTTTGCTAGTATGTTCCTCTTCTAAAATTAATATATCTAATCCCTAACATGTAATAGATAATGATTCAATGTTTATTGCTTTTAATTCAATCATTACTCAATGGTAGCTAGCTTAAATGACTATGAGAACATTGTTTTGATCTAAATTCTTTCATTAGAAAAAATATAAAGCTATTTGAAGACAGTGATAACTTAATAGGGAAATGTCCATTAAATATGTTGACTAACTTATGAAAACTACCTACTGTTACTGCTGATAGGTCTCATTCAAGAGCATTTGCTGATGTTTAGGCCTGGAGTCTTGGTCATTTATTTACTAGGAAAATAAATTTAGGGACAAATGGGCTCTAGAAATAAATATTTCAACACTTAATTAGTTTTTTAGTTTTGTATATATAGGAGCCAGTCTTGAAAGAATGTTATCTCTAGGGACAAATATTTAAGACCTCATATAAATTATAATGATTAAAAAAAAACCCTTGGAAGTAATCCACTGTAATTTATCCTGAGAAAATGATACTCTTTATTCCCTATCCTCCATACTCATTATATTGTCTATCCCAGAGAGTGTTTGATTATAGAAAATGTTTTCTACCAATTCTTTCCAAAAGCTGAAAGGGATTTTAATTGTTTTCTCTCCCTCAGTTAGCTTCTCTTCTTCAATTCCAAATAAATTGCTATCTATATACAAATCCTAGATCTTAGATTCTGATGCAAGAAAGACCTCCTGGGACTCACAATCTTTATGTCTTCTAGCTGCCACTGATTTCTGTAGTATTATCTGTAGTAGATGATATTAGAGAAGCAGCCTGGAGATCTGACTGCTGCTTTTTGTTCTTTCCAAATTCTATCACCAATATTTTCCCACGTAGTTTATATCCATTTACTAGACGCAATGCTTGCCATGCTATTTCTGTATCTAAAAGAGAAAGAAAAAACATCAGTTTATATGTGGCTTAATCGATTTTATTCCAAGTCTAGTTTATGTTGTTTTTGCCTTGGAGTTCAGTGTAGGCTATAAGGCCACGTAATTATTTTATTTTATTGGGTTTTCTACAATCTCAAATTTGTAATAACTCAGCAAGATTAAACTAAGGGCTAAGAATAACAACAATAAAACCTTAAAATGGATGTTTGAGAGCTTCTCCTAATTCAATGATATAGGTAAAGAAACAAGGATACAGACAGTGTGTTAAAGAGGGTTAAGCTATAACTAATAATACACAAACCTCTATCTTAGATAACAGATTATAGGTACTGTAAGAATGAAATCATTTTCAAAATGGGGAAGACAAATAAAAGTTGTTATCATGGTATTGAGGACATTTTGCTACTTTTTCCTTTTGATCAGAGAGTGGTTGCAGGAGCCCTCATTAGGATAAGTAAGTTTAAGAGTGCTTGCAGGCATATGGAAGCTTGAGGTGTAAGAGTATATAGCATACAGCAGGAGGATTTGATTTATGGGTCTCACAGCCTGGATGTGGGAAATTAGGAAGGAATGGAATTACTGCCTAGAGTCTGTGAAATCGTAAGTGGACAAGCAATGTTTTTAGATTGAACCAATTTATGTCTCATATATGTATGCACTACAAATTTTCAAATGCATGTATAATTACTAAAATGGCTATTTATTTAGAAGTACTTAGTGTATAAAGCCTTTTTATTACATATCTTTTCAATTAATAGATCACATTAGGTGGGGGTGCATGAAGTAATTTTATAAGTTTAAAAAGGGTTCTCACACTTGAAAAGACTAAAAATCACTAGCGTTGAGGATCCACAAACCTTCAATGAGATAGGAAAGATGGTACAATGCTGTATGAAAAGAATGCAGGGGAGTTTGGCACTGCTCATGTGTAAAAGCACTTCCCGTTAAATAGATTACTAGGCTGTATACAAATGATGATACTTTAGGGATAATAAAAGGCACAGCTCCTACCCAGCCTCCACCAAAAAAAGAAAGTCTGGTCTGTCATAGGAACTGAAATTCCTATACAGGTATAACTTTTTAACTGCACTTTGCTTTATTATGCTTTGCAGATATTGCAGTTTTTTCCCTCAAATTTAAGGTTTCTAGCAACCTTGCACTGTCAAGATGATGGCTAGCATTTTTTACCAAGAAAGTATTTTTAAGTTAAGGTATGTACATTGTTTTTTTAGACAAAATGCTACTGCACACTTAATAGACTACAGTATAGTACAAACATAACTTTTACATGTGCTAGGAAACCAAAATATTCATGTGGCTTGCTTCACTGGGATATTCACTTTATTGCAGTGGTCTGGAACCGAATCTGTAATATCTCTGAGATATACCTGTATTATTTCTCCCTTTGGCTTAGGATACTGAAATCATGTATTAAGATGCAAACAACAGTTAAAAGAATATATCACCTACTAGTTAATTATGAATTACTAATGAATTAGCATAATATAGCATAATAGCATAATATCTTGCAGTCTCTTAGTCCTAAAGGAATAGGACATAATGCAAGTACGAGTGTTCTGATCAGAATACCAATATATTAATAATTAACATAATTATAACTTGGACTAGAAATACTATTTTCAGCAAAGGGAAAGTAAATTTTGATGGCGTGAGTAGGAAGTGCCAAAACTGAGGAAAAGTGAGGACAAAGGTGTAAAGTGGTCATGCACTGTCAAAGGAGGAGAGGAAGCACAGAAGGGAAAGTAGAGAAAAATTAAAAACATGTTTTCCTTAGTTCTCTTCCCTTCCTCCCATGTGCTTGGCCAAGCACATACTTCTCATGTGCTGTAGAGATATCAAAGCGCTATATCTAAACAAGAGAGGGGATAAGTAGTCACTAATGAACTTATGCTACAACTGAGTAATTATCCAGATGAAGCTACTTACTGGGAAAAGTGATAAAAGCCTGCCCTCTCATTCGTCCAGTCATCATTCGGAATTGAATTGGAGGTCCTTTCTTCTCCTGGAACCGAGCGAATAATGAGACAAGATCTCTTTCGGTCACCCGAGGGCTAAGGTTCTTCAGGTATAACACCTAATATAAACCAAGGATCACCAGAAATAACACATTAGGGAGGTAAGGCAACTATTTAATTGTGGTAGGAATTAGTTAGTTTCAGATAAAGATGGTGGATTGAACACATGCATCTAATTTCAATCCCTCCAGAAAACTCTCCAAAAACTATAGAGACTTTTTTTTAATACAAACTGACAAGGTAAGGAAGAACAAGGAAAGGAGGCAATAGCAACAATATTCTGGAAGCTGGAAAATAACTGAACGAGTGTACTCAAGAAAGCTGAATCTTAAACCAGCAGTGGGGAAAGCCAGGAACTAACCCAATCTATACCTAAGAATCCTCAAACATTTTAGGAACTGATATATTCAGGTGTCTCTGGAAATGGATGTAAAGAGCTGGGGTTAAGATAAGGTGGGTAGGTTGAAAACTCTTTAAAAATAGGTTAGATCTTTAAACACCTCCCCTATAATATGCTACTGGGTAAAGACCACTCCCAATCTTGGTGAATACTGGAGGTTCATTCTCTGAACACAGGGAGAGCTAGATACAGCTGAGGATGAGAATACTGTTCCTAAAAACTAGGAGATTAAGAGAAATAATGCATTCTGAATGATGAAGATACCCCAAACACTTCCTCCCATTAGGCTCCCACAATGCTGGTGGTACCCTCCCATGCAAGAGTTCTGAAGTCTTCTCTGGAGAATCTGATTACCCCAAGAAGAAAGATCTAAAAATGCTGGTTTTGGATGTGGAATTTCTCCAAGAAATGGACGAGCCAGATGACTTTAAGTGAAGCTCAAAGTCAATAAGGATCACTCATTTGCTCAGAGCTTCCAATCTGTTTTTGGCCCCTACTCATAAATATGAGCACAGATTATCAGGCATCTGAGAAAAGCCTCTAATGTGAAAGAGAACAGAGCAAACAAAGAAATGAAAGCAAATGGGAGAAAACAGAAACTATGCAAGGACAAAAAAAAACACTTCAAAAAGCCATCACTAATACCCTCAGAGAAATAAGAGAAAATATTCCATCTATTACGAATGGGATGCTATAAAAAAAAGAAATATTCAAGAAAACAAAAAAGAGCTCTTAAGTGTGATTGAACTTAGTTCTTATCGGCTTAAAATAGATTGTTATAAGATGTTCTGGGTAAGTTCCATTGTAATTATAAAGAAAATACCTATAGAGGATACACAAAAGAAAATGAGAAAGGAAAAAAGCACTTCACTACCAAAAATTCACTGAAATACAAAGGAGGACCTCAAGAAAGAAAAAGAGCAACAAAAGAGCTACAATACAGAAAACAACTAATAAATGGCAATAGTAAGTCCTCCCTATCAATAATTACTTTACCTATAAATGGATTAAACTCCCTAATCAAAGACATAGAGTGGCTGAACAAATAAAAACCAAGATCTGACTATGTGCTGTCTGCAAGAAACTCACTTTAGATTTAAGGCCATACATAGGCTGAAAATGAAAGGATAGAAAAATAAATTCCATGCAAGTTGTAACCAAAAAAGAGCAGGGTTGGCCATGCTTATATAAGATAAAATAAACTTTAAGTCAAAAACTTTCAAAGGAAACAAAAAAGGATATTACATAATGATAAAAAGGTCAATTTCACCAGGAAGATATAACTACTATAAATATATATACATCCAACATCAGAGCACCTAAATATATGAAGCAAACATTGAGAAAACTGAAGGAAGAAACAGAAAGCAACACAATATTACTAGGAGATTTCAATACCTCACTTTCAATAGCAGAAGAAAAACTAGAAAATTCACAAATTTGTGGAAACTAAACAAAAATACTCTAGAACAACTAATGGGTCAAAGAAGAAATCAAAAGGGAAATTAGAAAATACCTTGAGACAAATGAATATGAAACCATAATATACCAAAATTTATTGGATGCAGCAAGATCAATGCTAAGAGGGAATTTTATAGCCTTAAGTGCCTAAATTAAAAGAGGAGAAAGCTCTCAAACAACTTAACTCTATACTTCAAGGAACTAGAAAAAACAGAATAAACTAAGCTCAAAGTTATCAGAGGGAAATAATAAAGATTAGAACAGAAATAAATGAAATAGAGATTAGAAAAATCATAGAAAAAAATCAACCAAACTAAGAGCTGTTTTTTTAAAAAGATCAACAAAATTGACTACCTTTAGTTAGGCTAAGAAAAAAAGAAGACTCAAATAAAATTAGCTGTGAAAGAGGAGTCATTACAATGGATGCCACAGAAATAAAAAAGAATTATGAGAGACTACTCTGATAATTATATGCCAACAAATTGGATAACCTAGAAAAAAGGATAAATTCCTAGAAACATAAAACCTACCAAGACAAAATCATGAAGAAATAGAAAATCTGAATAGATATATAACTAGCAATAAAATTGATTCAGTAATCAACAAAGAAAAGCTCAGGACCAGATGGCTTCACAGGTGAATTCTACCTAACATTTAAAGAAGAATTAATACCAATCCTCCTCAAACACTTTCAAAAAACTGAAGAGGAGGAAACACTCCCAAACTAATTTTATGAGGCTATCATTACCCTGACCAAAAGCAGAAAAAGACATAACAAGAAAAGAAAACTACAGGCCAATATCCCTGATGAATACAGATGCAAAAATCCTTAACAGAAAACTAGTAAACTGAATTCAAAAGCACATTTAAAGGATCACACATCATGACCAAATGGGATTTATCCCTGTGATGCAAGGATGGTTCAACATATGAAAATCAGTCAATAAGATACAACACATTAACAGAATGAAGGATAAAAATCACAAATCATCTCAAAAGACATCAATGGACAGATATTCCAGACAGAAAATCAGTAAGGCAACAAAATGACACAACAGAACAGACAGACTTAATTGATATTTTCAGGACATTGCATCCAAAAGAAACAAAAACAAAAACCACCAAATCAAACAAAACAACAACAACAACCAGAATACACATTCTTTTCAAGTGCACACTGGAACATTCTCTAGGACAGACCACATACTAGGACACAAAACAAGCCTCAACAAATTTAAGAGGCCAGGGATTATTTCAAGCATCTTTTCTGACCACAACAGCATGAAACTAGAAATCAACCACAGAAAGAGAAACGAGAAAAAAAATGATTACATGGAGATGAAACATGCTACTAAAAAAGCAATAGGTCAAAAACAATGAAATCGAAGAGGAAGTTAAAAAATACCTTGAGACAAATGACAATGAAAACACAACCATACAAAATCTATGGAATGCAGCAAAAACAGTCCAAAGAGGGAACTTCATAGTGATAAATCCCTTCCTCAAAAACAAGAAAAATCTCAAATAAACAACCTAACCTACCACCTAAAAGAATTAGAAAAAGAAGAACAAACAAAACCTAAAGTCAGCAGAAGGAAGGAAATAATAAAGATCAGGGAGGAAATAAATAAAATAGATATCAAAAAACAAGAGAAAAAATCAATAAGCCAAGAGCTGTTTTTCTGAAAATGTAAACAAAACTGACAAACCTCTGGTCAGGCTCAATGAGAAAAGAGAGAGAACCCAAATAAATGAGGAGAAATCACAACTGATACTGCAGAAATACAAAAAAACCATAAGAGAATATTATAAACAATTATATGCCAACAGATTGGACAACCTAGAAGAAACAGACAAGTTTCTAGACACATACAGTCCACCAAACCTGAATCAAAAATAAATAGATAGTTTGAACAGACCAATCACTAGAAGTGAAATAGAATCTGTAATTTAAAAAAACTCCCTAAAAAAGAAGTCCAGGACTGGTTGTCTTCACTGGGGAATTCTACCAAACATACAAAGAAGAACTTATATCAATCCTTCTCAAACTCTTCCAAAAGACTGAAGAGTAGGGAACACTACCAAAGTCATTCTATGAAGAAACCATCATCCTGATACCAAATCCAGACAAAGACACTACCATAAAAGAAAATTACAGGCCAATATCTTTGATGAACATAGATGCAAAAAATTCTCAACAAAATATTAGCAAACCAAATCCAACAACACATAAAAAGGATCATACAGGCTTCCCTGGTGGCGCAGTGGTTGAGGGTCCGCCTGCCGATGCAGGGGACGTGGGTTCGTGCCCCGGTCCGGGGGGATCCCACATGCCGCGGAGCGATTGGGTCCATTGGCCATGGCCGCTGGGCCTGCGCGTCCGGAGCCTGTGCTCCATGATGGGGGAGGCCACAGCGGTGAGAGGCCCGCGTACCGAAAAAAAAAAAAAAAGGATCATACACCATGATCAAGTTGGATTCATCTAAGGGTCACAAGGATGGTTCAACATATGCAAATTAATCAATGTGATACACCACATCAACAAAAGAAAAGACAAAAAACACACGATCATCTCAACAGATGCAGAAAAAGCATTTGATAAAATTCAACATCAATTCATGATAAAAACTCTTATCAAAGTGGGTACAGAGCGAACATATCTCAACATAAGAAAAGCTATTTATGACAAACCCACAGTCAACATAATACTTAACAGTGAAAAGCCTTCCTACTAAAATCTGGAACAAGACAATGATGACCACTTTCACCACTTCTATTCAACATAGGACTGGAAGTCCTAGCCACAGAAATCAGACAGTAAAAAGAAATAAAAGGTATCAAAATTGGAAGGGAAGAGGTAAAATTGTCATTATATGCAGATGACATTATACTATATATAGAAAACCCTAAAGACTCCATACAAAAACTACTAGAACTGATAAGCAAATTCAGCAAGGTAGCAGGATACAAGATTAACATATAGAAATCTGTTGAATTTCTTTATACTAACAATGAAATATCAGAAAGGGAAAGTTTAAAAAAATCCCTTTAAAAATTACATCATCAACATCACTAATCATTAGAGAAATGCAAATCAAAACTACAATGACGTATCAACTCACACCAGTCAGAATGGCCATCATCAAAAAATCTACAAACAATAAATGCTGGAGAGGGTGTGGAGAAAAGGGAACACTC